TGAGTCCACGTCCCTGATAGGGTAGAGACGAGAGAACCGCCCTTTAGACCCCATTCGTTTCTCTGATTTATCCCATTCATCACTAATAAGCCTCTTAGTGATCTTGCTCACTGGAAAGGATGACCTGCTTCGTCGTAGATTTGCAAAATGCTTGCTTGAGGGGGACAAGACCTCCCCCTCCTCCTTCATGCTTAACGTTTTGCGCACCAAGGCTATAAGCGCATCCACCATCTTGGGTTCAAGGGATGTTGATCCCTCCTGATCCGAAGAAGAAAAGTATTCGCCTTCGGACAGAGACATCTCTTCCTCAGTCCCCACTGAGGAATCATAATGGGAGCTGGCGGTTCTCTGCCGTTTCTGGGAGTGACCGGCCTGCTTCACCCCTTTCGCCACCGCCTGCTGAATCAGTTCCAAAATGCCCGAAGAGGCGCTGGAAGGACCTGCGGCTTCACTGAAACAAGCTTGGCAGAGCTTTTTCCCCGTCATTGCCTTGCCATCGCAAGCGCGGCATCTGTCCGACTTGCCCTTCTTTTTCCCTGAGGATGCAGAGACTGTAACTCCACTGGGCTAAAAACCAAAAAATAAAAAATCCAAAAATCAATTGGAGCCTTGAAACACCAATCAAAAAATAAAAAAACATTCGTTTCGTTTTTTGTTTTTTTTTTAAATGTAAATTTTAGAAATCTCACCTAGGCTCCTTTGATCTGGACCTACGAGGTGAGGAACCGCTGTCCATATTGTCTCAGGAAGAGATGGGACCACCGAGACTGAATCCACAGGTTTAAATAGGAAAAAATGTGTTTTTGTTTTTTTTTTATTTCGCGCCGAAAATCGGGGCCGGGATGACGTCACGGCCCCCGTTCGCGCATGCGCAAAGGAGCGGCGAAGCCGCGTATGCCCATACAGTTCTGCCCTCAGTTCGGCGCCCGCAAGCCGAGAGAGAGCCGGCAGAGAGAGGGGATCCCGGAACACTGCTGCCAGGGAAGGGAACAGGGAAGCATACAGAGCCTCCTAGGACACGTAAGGCATCCATAGCCACCAGAGCCTACCTGTGTCCTTGAAGTCGATGGCTCCCACACCATGGCCGCTACCCCTCGGGTCACCGCTGGTCTCTTGCAGGTACTGGGGATGCCTTTCAACCTCCTCAAGGGGACACCCTAGCCCGGGGCCGAGACTTGGGAGCCTCGCAGGGGAAAGGGACTGTAACTCCACTGCTGAACTTCCCTGCTGTAAACCACATGTGAAGGAAACAAACAAACAGCCAAATAAAGCAAACATCTTCCCATAAAGGAAAGATCCAAGCTAAACTACCTGCCCTAGGGGGACAGGAACAAAAAAAGACAGGAACTCAGGTTAAGGAGGGGCTTATATAGGGCAAAGGGGGTTGATCTTTAACCCTTTTTTGTTCCTGTTACCTAGGGGAAATAGGAGCCAACTCATTTGTCAGCGCTGCCATGGATATGGCCAGGAAATATATATATATATGCCAGTAGCTTCACTTATTTCTGGCATTACGCATAAATCTGGCATATATACCTGTAGCTTCATTTATTTCTGGCATTACGCTTGCAATTGTTGAAATAAGACTGCAAAACGACAATGCTTTTCCCTCTTAGTGTCAGAGACTTGTCTGAAGACAACACTAAGGGGTCAATTTTTAATGGAGTGGATATCTCTATCCACTTTCTGTGACCTCCTCATTCATATAATGCAGGCCATGGTATGCAGCCTGTGGTATCCTATGGAGTTCTCCCTGCTTTATTACTATCAAGGTCACATGACCAGGCATCAGGCTTTTATTTTACAATCTTTAATTAAAGCCCGTTTCACACTGGTGGTCCAATTGGGTCCACCTGTCAGATTTTCAAGCGGACCGATCGGATGGCCAATGTAAGTCTATGGGCAGCCATGTGTAAGTGGATGGGCGTCCGTTTACACCTGGTTACCCCCGACTCTGGCCAAGTCCAGAAAAACAAACAGATCAGTGATCCATTTCGCTGGACCAGATCATGCCAGATCAAGGTTAATCTGATCCAATTTCCCATAGACAGACATGGGGTCCTGTCCTTGCAGTGTTTTCCTCTATCACAAGATGGATGAAAAAACTGTATGGACACGGATATCACAGCGGTGACATCTCCTCTCCGTACTGCTTTGATCAGAAGATCCATGCACAGATCCTCTCCTGATCAGCCCTTGTGAAAGGGGCCTAATAAAGTTTCGCTGGCTGCAGGGTACTGAAGTAATTATTTGTTTTATTATTTTTAATTATTTGAATTGTTATTCATTTTATTATTATTATTCAGATACAACTCGGATTTGCCGTCTTCTAAAAGCAAATGCCAAGTGATATCTTGTTACATACAGTAATAAAAGTAATAGTGAAAGCTACAGGTTCTTCACATTAATTGTACAAGATGGTAACTGCAGAGGTTGTTTACACAGCCACAAAAGAATGCAAAATGTATTATCAAACTGTATGCAAGATGATTTAAGTTTTCACCATGTGTTACTATAATTGAGCAGTTACCATATGAGCCAATAAGAAACTCTTCCAAGCTCAGCATAGATCCAGATGTCTCTGTCACTATAGATCAGAGATAGTCAACCTTGGTACTCCAGCTGTGGTGAAACTACAGATCCCATCATGTTTCTGCCACTGTGAGCCATGCCTGCAGTTGTCAGAGTCTTGCAATGCCTCATGGAACTTGTACTTCCACAACAGCTGGAGTGCCAAGGTTGTCTACCCTTGCTATAGATACTTGAACATGCACCTGTGTTTGGTGTTGTTTTGCATTTTCAAGCATACATTTAATATCCAGAGTGGGCTAGAACAAGTTAGCATAGTTACCACATTTGGTGCTCTGCAGACACAAAGCCTTGAAATTCTTTTTAACTGGAATATAGTGTAGATTTGTACACACTTCATTATCGCCAGGGTCAAAAAATACAAATACATGTCAAGCAAAAAAAAAAAATGTTCTATTTTGTTTTGAGGCAGCAGGTGGAGTTTTCCCCATTTTACAGGTTCCTAATTTGTTTTACAGCCTCTTGTTTATGCACCCATGTGGATGACTCTTCAGTGGCTCATACCTTATGCAAAACCCCAGTCTGATATTTCATTCAAAGAGAGATAAAAGGCAGGGAGCTTCTGCATTGTTGTCACTTTTGTTAACCCATAGTGTTCTGAGAATCCTTTCTCATGCATTAAGCATTTCTTTTTTAACCAAGGATTATATACATAGAGTTTAGATATAAAAATATTTTTTAAAAACTATTAACTTTAAAAAAACTAAAATAAAATTGACCCAAGACCATAATAGTTGCCCTTTAAAACTAATGGCTTAGCATCCTTTTAATGACATTGGTTGTGATGTTACATCATAACTGTTGCCTGACACAAAGAGAGAGATATGTTGACACTAAACCTGTTACAATGACGATGCCAGCATTGCCCCTTGCTAAGAGGGCACTTCAGTGGGAATAAATTATTCAATTAAACAAACACTATTCAAAAATATCAGCAACAGTATCTGTTAAATAGAAGAGTTTCAGAAAGAAGCTTCACATAGTTTACTGTAATAACACTACATGATGAGCCATCAATGCTAATAACACTAGGATATTCAGCAGGTTATCTCATTAGTACAAGACATTTCTCATTTTCTTTTGTATGTTTTAGATGCTTTAAATGTTGTTTTGGTGGTGAATGACAGATGAATGAACACAATACGTTATTAAAATGTAAATTAAATGTAATTATTTCTGTGTTTCATCTAAAGAAAATCGAGCATATTGTTTTGTGAATTTTTTCCTTTGAAATTCAGACATGGAAAGCAAGCGTAATGCATACATTATGCTGAAAAAATAGACTATGAGGAATATTTAAATAAAACATGCATGTTCAGAAGGGACAAAAAGCGTCTGCGCTAGATACATTCAAATTCATTGCCTACCATTTGTATCATTTAAAAAATTAACCACTGAATGTTTCAATTGTCAAAAAGAAATTTATGATTAAAGTTTTACTCTAAGAATAATTTTTTCAATAAAATAAAAACAATTGGACGGTGGTGTTGTGGTATTGTTCTGTTAACACTCCCAAAGTATTGTGACTCTAGCTACTGATGGTTTGGTAAAACAAATAGTTGAGTCTGTTTGAATTACAAATGACAAGGAGTTCTGTGTATAGGAAGATTAGTAAATCAGGTTCAGCTTTTTTTTGACAAATGGTTGAATGTATTATTTATAAGTAGTTCAAACAGAAAAATGAAAAACTATTAGCATTATAAAGAGTGCAAGCATAAAGTTATTTGTGTATACAGGTTTTTCTTTGTACTGTTTCTAATGCATTTTTAACCGTCGTCTTCTTCTAGTTTCCCAAACACATTACATTTGCTACCCTAAACAAAACCCTCCTCCTTTTATAGAAACTCTTTTATAACTCCTTTCTGGAGTCTTTTTACAGTCACTAAAATTTTACAACACAACTATAGCCAAACAGCTAAATAAACAACTGAAACACCCATGTGTGAACTGCTTTTCCTTGCAGAAGATTTGTAAATATGTTAAGACTTTCTTGTGATTTGTACACCTCTGGCTCTATGCATAGTCAGGTAGGGGAATCATCGCAGCTTCCCATGTCATCTTTTGACCTCCAGCCTGCTTTTTAGATAATAATTCAGTATCATCTCATTGCTCATTGAGCAAGTAAGGCTGAAATGCAAAATAATAGTCATTTTCCTGACTATGTCTTGTGGCAGGATTGTATGAATCGCAGGACTAGGTGAATAGAATACCAAATTCTTTGGCAGGTAAAACAGTTCACACACATATACAGGTGAAACTCGACTCGAATAATTAGAATATCATGCAAAAGTAAATGCAGTAAGTGCTGCAAAAGGGGCCCAAACCAAGTACTGAGTACATATGCATGCTTGTACTTTTCAGAGGTCCGATATTGTTCTATGTACAATCCTTGTTTTATTGATTGCATGTAATAATCTACTTTTTTGAGGTTGTGGATTTGGGGTTCTTGGGGTTTTCATGAGCTGTAAGCCATGATCATCACAATTATGACAAATTATGGCTTGAATTATCTTGCTTTGCATGTAATGAGTCTATCTCATATATTAGTTTCACCTTTTAAGTTGCATTAGTGAAATAAATTAACTTTGCACGATATTCTAATTATTCGAGTTTCACCTGTATAAAGATATATCTATATATAATATACTTTATATTTCTAGCTGTTTGCCTACACTTCAGCTTCAAGTGGTTATGTGGTAAATATTGTAAGA